TCTTGGGGGGGGGGTGCTCCATATATCCGCAAGTACGTCTACTCTCGATACGACGCCCTTTCCCACGAGGGCGCCTCCTCTCAGACTGCCGCATGCGCTCAAACACAGAAGGCCCGAAAGACTTGGTGGCGGAGGGCGTGAACGGATGACAACATGGCCGACTACAAAGGATCGCGCACCGAACAGAGGGAGTTTGACGAACCAAATCCACTGGCCAATGAAACACACACACGCGATCCATTGGTCGGCCGGATAGCGCGGTCGATGCTTTTGACAAAACACGCACAGCAGCATTTTCTGTTTCTACTGTTTCGGTGTTACATGCGGAGAATAGCATAGCCTCCCCCATGACGCCACCTCACGGGGTCCTAGTTAATGGCATGTAGAAGTGCGTTGTGTTTCCAACCGCACTGAGACTGACATATGTTCATTCGTCGACCGCTTAGCGCGGTCGATGCTACTTTATGACGAAGACACACACACAGCAGTAGGGCATCATGAACACGGAGATAGACGAACGCACCGCTGCGCCTCGAACAGCCCGGCGAAGAGGTTGCGGATGGCTTCCTTGTCAGCCGAGTCAGGAAGGCCAGGGATGTAGATGCTGCACGTGAAGAGACAAGACAAGACAGACAGCCGCACCACAAACGAACCCAAGCAAAAAACGGCAGCGGTGGAAACAGTGCAGGACAACGCGGGCAAAAGAGCTGGTCAGAGAGAGAATATCTCCTCTCAAAGACTTTGCAAGGAAACGAGACGGACCCTTTACCACCCATTAACTGCACGATTCCAGGTCAGCACGCCTGAATAAAAATCAACAAAACCCCAAGATGTTTTTCTGGAGCTGGATGTGGGAGGAGATCCATGACGACGCAACTCTACAGCCGCATTCCTTGCGTTCGACAAAAGTCATGGCACAGGAAACTGGTGTTGCGCGCCAAAAGCTGCGGAGGGGGGCAGTGATGTTGGCTATCCTGCTCGAACTAGACAATGGGTCGCTCGCCCCTTCAATCGAGGGGCTTCGCTCTCGGCCCACGCACAAAATAACACCTCACGAGGTGCCTACCTCGGTTCACCTCGGTTCTTTTTTAGGCAGTGGTGGAATATAGTACAACACTTCAGGAGTGTGATTGCGTGCTGTCACCACCCATATGTGTACGCCGAACAAGCCATGTTTCGTAAATTCAGGCGTCTACGTGTACAAGATTAGTACAATCTCAAACGTCTCGCCGGGAATCGAAGTCGTGGACAAGTCGTCAGGCGGTGCGCAGCTTGACCATCGGAGCAAATGTTTCCTCGTGTAGCCATAGTTACCGAACGAAAGGGCAGTAAGCTACGCATCAAATCACAAGACAATTGCCACAGGACTACCTGCGGCACCTGCACTGAAAAAGCTGAAAGTGCTGCCAGATACAACAACAAAGAGACTCCTCCAAGTACTCACGACAAACGAGAAAATACATGTCTAGTATAGGGTTCGAGAAACACAGCTCAGCATCTGCGGAGGGATCCTACTGTACGTGAATAGTGAATACTTGACGGTGGTGAGGATGAGAGACTTGTGTAGCAAACACGCGGAGTTGACGTTTCTTGCGTTCGGGCCCCTACTGCTTGTTCCGGTACACGTGTGCGGTGCGCAACCCAGCAGCAGCAGCGTGCGAGACGGGCGGCGCGGCGAGATCGTTGCTTCGATAACCAAGAGCATCAAGCACGCGTGCGTGTTCTGATGGATACAATATCGGTCTTCTTGCATAGGACTCGCGGGGGGATAAGGTGCACGACAAACCAAGTGGACACGTTGACGGGGGCACACCAAGATAAACTGATGTGGTGCGGATGTAGCGCCTGCTGGCGACAGGTGTAAATAAACCCTGGGGGTCATCGAAAAGGGTGACCAGTCAGTGACGACTGACTACTGTCGAGAGAAAACGTCTGATGCAAAAATGCGTCTCTCTCTCTCTCTCTCTCTCTCTCTCTGCCAAAGCAGAGGAAACCCAGATCGAAATCATCCCGCGCTTTGCACGTCAACAAGCAGACTGAGTTTCCACATGACCAACGCCACAGAAGTCGACACAACTCGCTCTTTCCCTGGATTCTTCCGCTGGATATTACACAAACTGTACTGACAAAAAAAAACAGCACACACAAATGACAAGTGACTGACCTGGTGCTAGTGCCCTCGGGCACCGTAGCCCGCTCTCGGCGTCCACGGCGCGGCTTCCTCATCTCTACCGTAGCATGGGCACCGCACACATCGAAGCCGCCGGTCTCAGCGGCCGCCTGTCAGAAGGCAAGGACAAGGGGGGGGGGGGGGGGGGGGGG